CAGAAGCTTGGCTCTTCAAGCCTAGCAGCTCGGGATGGGAACTCTTGGCTGTCTGCTCCCCATGGAGATGGCCCTGTCGATAACCCACGGGGGGACCGTTCTGGCTTGTCCCACGGAGCCACGAGGAACCACGATCAACGAAGTCAATCTTGCAAGCTGAAGCAGGGAACTGCTAAGGCAGCTGCACCCGGTGCAACCATCACAAAACAAGAGACCCAAGAACTAGAAAGGCGAGGCTTCATCACCCATTTATCCCTCCGCCTTTCAATTAGCCCCACATGTGATTATCGGCCAGGCTGGCACAATTAACTAACTCACAGCCCAACATGGAGCTCCACACGCATCACCAGTGCTCCCATTAGCCTCCACTTAGAGCAGGCTGACTGACTGCCCACAGGGCCATTAATTGCCCCACAGTCGCTATAAACTCAATTTGCATATGCTTTCAAAAGCACTCTTTGAGGTTAATCGTCAACTTTGTTCTGGCCGTTGTCTCTTCTTGAGTTTCAATTTTCTTTGTCTTCCCTAGGAATCATTCAGAGTTTCAGAACAGTTCAAAGGCTCAGAACGCTTCCATCCTGGCAGAGAGAAACTAGGGTCGTGTTACATACGTCTTGCATAACCACCAGATCTCGTCTTGCGTGGGGGATTTTGACTTGTGAAGGAAACACACAGTGGTGTCCCTCTAAAAGATAGTGGCTAATCCATATTCAGAGTGACATGCTTGCTGTCATTTTTGAGTAGACCTGTTTCCTACTGGGGGCAAAACCTGCCACCTGAAACATTTGATTGCTGTGAATCGTGTGGGCCACGACTGACCCCTTTAGAACTGAGAGCTCTTGGCTATATTTAGCTGGTTTGTGGTTCAGCAATTGCTCTCAGAGTTTTGTGTTGTCTTTTTATAGTTAATATGAAAACCTCCATCGATTTTGAATACCCCCTTAGGTTTGGTTTTCCCCAAACCTTGTTTCAAATAATGTCGGTTCCCTTGGAAGAGCTTTGGGACCGCCTCTTCTCCCATGCTTTGTAAGGCGAGGTGGGTTTGGGGCCTCCATCCTCGTGGAGTGATACTTGCTGTACCTCCAGGGGGCTGCACGGGAACAGTAGTTGTAGTCTTCTCCACGGGGCTCTTCCTTTGCCCCACAAGTCAGCTTGAGCAAGAGCGGCCAGGGCCCCAGTGGATCCCATTTGCTTCACTTGTGCTGAGCGTCCACTTAGGACTGGATGCTGAATGGAGGATGATCTGTCAGCCCTGCCAGCCTCTTTTCTGAAACAGAACTTCTGTGACCTCGTTGCTGGGGTCCTGGCAATTCTGGCCCCCTGACCTTCTCGATGCGATATTGCTGCCCTGGGCGGGATGCTGGGTGGACAAGGAGCTCCGTGTTCTTGCTGCCACTCCTTTGGGGAAGAACGAGGAGAAGAGGAGAAGCTCATGGGGTCCAATGCTAGGGAACCTCGCTGCTATTAGCGAGATTTCGGAGACGTTCTTGAATAAATGTTTCTTCATTTGCTGTTGCCTTTAGTACAGGTACCTGAGATCTTAAGTGAGTTTTTCCTAAAACATATATTATTTTTAACCAATGATAGTTTTTTTTTCCTGTGGAGGGAGGGTCTATGGAATTTCTCATAATGTAATATGAAGTCAGCCTCATAGTCTTTAAAACAATGACTGTTGTACTCCAAGGTTTGAGGAATGCTATGCTTATTATAATTCTACTAGAGATACGCGTTTTAGATAAGTCTCCATGCTGATCGTTTGTAGCAGAGATTTGTGTAGAGCAGTTATAAGGGATTACTTCATAATGCCTGCCACCTTCATCACATTCCCTCTTAAAAGGTCAGATGTGACTCTGAACATACGTGTCTATTATTTTATCTCAGAGTAATACTTTAATTAAAAATATAGAGCATTTGTATTCATTTTAATGCCTCTCTAAAATGTATGTGATTTTCAACTGCATCCCTGTCACATGGTTGTGTGGATATCTGTCGCAAGGTTGAGCAAAAGAAAGCTTACACATGACTACAAACAACAATTTTCTTTAAAAAACAAAATAGCAACAACAACAAAAAAGAGCAATAACAAAGTGCAAAATATATGCTATTAGAATCAGAACATCAGGAATGTCTCTTTCCATTCTTTAAAACCTGGAGGGTGGCTCGTTAGTTTTCTATTTAATACAATTTGACTGAGGTTTTGAGCTTTTGATATGCCTACTAACTCATGACTGTTATACAGGCAGCCCCCAAATTGATGCATGCTCTGTCCTAACTGTGGCTCTAAGAGTTGGTAGGTAAGTCTCACCAGGGGCCTACCTAGGGCTATTCCCGAGCCTCACTTTCGCGCAATAAAAGGCTCGAAGCCATTTCAATGATTTATAAGCTGCCTAGGCAGCCAGCGGAGGAGGTTGTGATGAGGAATTGGTGCCAGTAGAGGCTGGCTTAGTGGCTCCAAAAGGAGGGCAAATTTGCATAACACTACAGGGCAAGGAGGACTTATCCTTAGGTCTGATGTTCATGACCAGGGGCCCGCCTGAACATCAATAAAACATTAAAAAATATATATCGAGGTTTAATATGAGTCCTAGAGTTTTACCTGATTACAATTTGGGATACATTTTATTACATTTAACTCTTGATTTCTGTTGCGATGTGTACGTTCTCTGATTTTAAGAATACGTATTTCCCTCATGTCTCCATGAACAATGAAGAAATTCAAAGTATCAGTTATTATGAGGATGAGCAGTTCTGCTTCAGGTTGTGTTTCCACGAAACCTTTTTAAGGTACCACGACTTTCAAAATTAAAATAAAATATTGTCCTGTGAAGATCATTTACAAGTTGTTGTTGGAAAAATAAAAAGGCATGTCGCTTTCACACCTCCAGGGAAAATTCTACATAGAAATTAGACTGTTGCTATAATATATCTAACCAGGCAGGTCGTCTTATCCTTTGTAATACATTTTTAAATTTTACCCTGTAGGACTGTTTTGAAAGAAAGTGGGTTTGCCAGATACCTTCATTCAGCTGTTCTGATCAATGGAGCTATGCTTATTTTTGGAGGAAACACGCATAATGACACTTCGTTGAGTAACGGAGCAAAATGTTTTTCTGCCGATTTCCTGGCATATGACATAGGTATGTATCCGTTAGGATTGTACAAAATAGGAACTAGCAGACCATTGCCATGCAGAGATTTGTAAATACCTTAATTGACTTGTGCTCAGTTCATTTTAGAGGTGAAGTCGCTGAAAGGTTGTGAATGGACTTTTCTCTAATTGCAACCACACACAGGCCAAAGAGAACAGAGGTATTCAGGTGAGTCAGGGCAGAGGCCAGGCCAGAAAAGTCTAGATTTCGAATGTCCTTTTAGAAAGGAGCCCAGTGCCTCAATGGTTAAGCACTTGGCTGCCTACCAGAAGCTTGGCTCTTCAAGCCTAGCAGCTCGGGATGGGAACTCTTGGCTGTCTGCTCCCCATGGAGATGGCCCTGTCGATAACCCACGGGGGGAACAGTTCTGGCTTGTCCCACGGAGCCACGAGGAACCACGATCAACTCGGTGGCACACAGCATCAGAGGCTCAGTGGACAAAGAAGGCGCATTGCATTCTTCTCATGTTATTCGGTCTGTTTTCACGTCCACAGTTTTGGGGTGCAGACAGTAGATACTGTCATACAGGTGAGTGTTCTAGAATCACTGAGAGCGAAAGGAATCCTGAAGTTTGAGTGGTTTGTTCTTGGCGTAACTTAAGTGTCACGAAGTAGTTTGCCCGAGGATTCCAAAATTTACGAGTCAGGCGTTTCCACGGCTGGAAGTATGTTTTTTAACACTGAAGTGAGCCTTGCAATGATATTTCAGTATAATCCAATGAGTAATTATTCCAGAGTTTTCAATAGGCCTGACATATAATTACGATTCTTGTAATTACAAATGGCAGTCATTCCTGAGGTAGAAAGGTTAGTGAAGTTTCAGAGAAACAAGGGTGAAAGACCACTCAGAGCTAGATCGATGTTATTTTTTCTTCAAAAAGATAATGGAAACATGAAAATGTAATTTCCCGAGTTAGATTAGTTCAGAATAAGGTAGGAGGTAGCCTTTCTGTCAGAAATATATCGTGCAGCAAAACAGAGCTGCAGAAACTTCAAATCAGATGGAACTCATAATAGAATTCTTAAAATTGCCCCAACACGACAGCTTTACTGATGGCGTTAATTTCTTGGTGGTTGATTAAAGACAAAATTTGTAAACAAAACTATGAAAAGTAATTTCATATTCGAGGAAGGAATACTAGATGAATTCATTATCCGTAATAACACGCACGGTTATAATTTAATGATACAATGGTGTTGTACTTGGGAAAAAACAAAACCCAAGGAAAACCAAACGCATTGCCATGATTGAGCCCATTCTGACTGACAGAGACCCTGTAGGAAAGGGTAGAGCCGCCCCTGTGCGTTTCCGAGATTGTAACTCTATGAAGGAGGAAGGAAGCCCCAGTTACCTCCCTCGAGCCGGTTAGTTTTCAAAGTGCTGACCTTGCAGCTCCGTGCGTAACCAGTATCCCACAAGGGCCCCCTTTAGGATCCCTTAACTAGTTTACAAAACATAGGTATGTTTTTGAACAACTTAGAGTGATAGGTATGTGTATATGTAGGAGCCCCTCACTCCCCAAACAAAACAAATAAAACAAAACACAACAGCCAAACCAGTTGCTGGCAAGTTGTTGTCGACTCATGGCAGCCCGGGTCTTTCCGAGTAGACAGGAGGTCTACTCTGTAGTAGGCAGAAGGGTTACCATAAGGTCAGATCTGCTCCATCAGGTTTTCTTGGCTCAATTCTGCCCCCCTCCCCCCCAGTTTTATTGTCATATAATTCACATATCATCCAATCCAATAGTTCAGTCACACCAAGAAGAGTTGAACAATCACTTTGAGAACATTTTGTGCATTCTTGTACTCATCGTGATGAACTCCCCTGTCCCCGCCACCTCCCCTGCCACATCCCCAGGCAACTATTAGCTCCGTTGACTGAAATCTTCATGGGAAGGAGCCCTGCTGGGACCGAGGCTAAGCACTTAGTTGCCAAGGGAAAGGTTGGCGGTTCAAATCCACCCGCAGTAAGTGACTTGGTGATCTTGTCCCCTAAAGATTACAGCCTCCTCTGTCGTCCCCGGCTCTTCGTGAGTCAGAACTGATTCCGTAGCACACAATAACAACAACAACAGCCATCTTTGTGGCACACATAACAACAACAACAACAGCCACGTTTGTGGGAGGAGCTCACTAGGCTCTTCTTTAATGGGGCTTCTGGTGGACGCACACCTCCAACAAGGGTGGGTGAACAGTTTGCAACATGCCAGACTCCTTTGATCAGAATTAAACCAAGCAAACTTGTTGCTATCGAATCCGTTCTGACCCATAGCTTCTCAATAGGACAGATTTAGGACTGCCCCATTACCAAACCAAACTCACTACCACGGAGTTGATGCTGCCTCATAGCGAACCCAGAAGACAGGGTAGAACTGCCCCTGTGGGTTTCCAAGACTACAATGCGTACAGGACTAAAAAGCCCCGTCTTTCTCCCTCAGAGTGACTGGTGGTTTGCAAACTGCTGACCTGTGCATACACCACTTTGCCACCAAGCTTCCAGAACCGCCCCATAGGGTTCTGTAAATCTGTATGGAAGTCGGTCGTCACAGCTATCTCCTGGGGAGTGTGGCTGCTGGGTTCAGAGAGCCAGTTGAGCACTTAAACCGCTGCACCACCAGAGCGCCTTTGATCCGCATGCCCATGCATTGCTGTCAAGGGGCTTCTAACTCACAGTGATCCTGTAGGACAGGCTAACCGTTGCCTTATTTATACATCATATTATTTATTAAACCATGATGGTTAATAATACAGTGAACACTCCTATCCACCATAATATAATATAGCATAATATAGTAGGTCATGTATAAGGAGTGTAGCGGTGGACTGGACTTGATGGGGGTGAGTTGATCATAATGTATAATGAACGGAACTCCCCACATAAGAACAGCATTGGGAACAGAACTCTAACCCTGTGGCTCATGTCCTCCCCTCCTCCTGTTTTCTCTCCTCTTCCAATCCGTGTTTGCAGTACAATGTACATCTATCCCATTCTTTCACATCATCGCCCTCGCTGGCTGTTTGCAGAGTTCTTGACTTCAAACCAGTCCAGTGCGCATAAAATGCCCTCTCCTTGTGGCCTTCGCGTGCGTTTTCTGAGCAACAGGAAGGTTAAGCCAGTCTTTACGTGACTCTCAGTCAGGTGCTTCCTCCTTTTTGAAACGCATGTTTCTGTGTTGCGTCCATTTTTCTCTTGTGAGCCATGGTGGGGTAGTGGGTTCCTTGCTGGCCGCTAACCGCAAGCTCAGGGGTTTGACTCCACTCCAAGCTCAGACTGTCTGCTTTCATAAACATTAACAGCCTCACAAACCCAAAGGGGCAGTTCTACTCTGTCCTGTAAGGTCACTTTGAGTCAATGGGTCTTGGGGTTTTGGTGCTAACAGTGAAGGTAATAGTTTAGGAATGTGGAATTGTCTGCTCTTCCCTGTAACGGTTTCCAGGTAAGGGGGTGGGGGGGATGGGACCACATTGCCAGTCCAGCTTGCGCATCTGCACGCATTTCTCTTGTTTTCTCTGCTAGTGCTTCGGACACGGGGCTGGCCTGTGCACTCAGAGGTTCATGGGCAACAGACGCGTCTGTTCTAACGTGTAGAAAGGAGAAAGCTTTTAAGTCTAGCGTTAGCAGTTTTCTTCTCAGTAAGTGCGGCAGATGCCGCATTCATCCCTTCCACTCGCATCCCTATGGTGAGAATCTTGTCCTTGTCTTTGGTCCGCTCCACAGGAGACCGAGTGATGCCACTTCAAGCTATTCAGGCAGTCCTTTTGTGCGTGTGTTTGGTTTTATTATAGTATGCTGGAAGTTGTTGGGTTTGTAAACTCGACTATGGATGATGTGACTAGAATGTGTGCATTTTGCTGTTTGGAACTTAATTCAGACATTAGTAGTAGGCGTGGAACCTAGCCTTTCAAGGAGCTCATCGAATGGTGATTTATTTTCTAAGAGACGCTATGGAGCTTCGGCTTTTTTTTTTTTTTATTTCCTGTCACACGTTCACCACAGTGTGACTGATAAACGTCGTGTGTTGGGTGGTTTTTTTTTTTTTTTTGAAGCACTGCACAGTCATGAGAGTACCGATAGTTGACATGCGAGGCAATCCCAGGAAAGGCTGGTGGTGGGGAATGGAAATGACAGGTGAAGGAATCAGAGCGAAAGTGCAGTATCAAGCTAGCGACCCCTGGGGATGAATGGAAGTCAACCTCTTCAAAGAACCTAGGCCCGGCATAGGACATTTCTCTGCCCCAAGCGCAGAGAGAAACAGCTGTAGCATCTGTCTACCGCTATGTCTATATCGATTATAACTCGATTCTGCAGATATTAATTTGCTGACTTTCAGCCTGGCATGTCCACGGGCTGCGCATGCTACTGTGCAGGCATTTCTGGAAAGCAGAGACGAGAGCCAGGGTACCGGCGCAGGACTCCCAATCAGCTACATCTCCCACAAAGCACAGTGTGGAGCTATCAGTGACATTTCCTTCACTGATCACATTTGTTTTCTTACAGACTGTCAGTGCTTCTAGACAACGGTCTTTAATGTCGTAGTAGTTAGCAGTGGATTGCATAGTGATTGAGGACAGAGCAGACACAATTCAATGAAGAAGAGGAAACTTGTAAATGAAATCAGAGGAAGAAAAACACCTCTTTACAGACTATGGGTGGACGAGTTAAGGAACGCTGCTGGCACTGGGGAATAGGCACTGGGCCACTAACTGCAGAGTTATCAGTTGAGACCTACCAGGTGCTCTGCTAAAGCTTTACTCTCCAGGAGAGCCTATGAAGCGGTTCGACCCTGTCCTATAGGGTCACTGTGGGTTGACATGGACTTGATGGCAGGGGGTGGGCTGGACGCATCACAAAGCTGGAAGTTTCCAGTAGGTACTGGGATAAGCTGTAGTGTTAAGTGGGGGGGAAAAAAAGTACGTTTCAAAATAAAAATACACATGTTCTCGTGTCTGTGAGCAATACTAAGCAAAACAAAATGTTTAGACAGAGTT